TTTAAGTGTGACCTCTGCAATGTGTAGCACTTTAGAGGAGATCTTCAAGGAAAGTATAATTATTACCAAGCAGGGGGAAAGGGAATCAAGCAATATGAGTTTATCAGTTCTGGATAACACCAGGCTGAGCCAACATCTTTCTTTCAGATGATTGTTTTTGTGGAAGGCAAAAGAAATTCCAAAGGTCTCATCTCTGTATTCCAGTAAAGCATTGATACGTGCCACATAAGAAACAATTAGTTAGACTGGAGAAGATCAAGTGAGGAGGAGTTGTAGGTAACAGGGAGGGAGAAGTCAGTCTGAGAAGACAGCAGCAGCAAGATCACCCATCAAAATCTAGCAAAATGTTCCTTGTTACACTCCCCATGGTCACCCATGGGATTTGCCTTTGCTAATATTACCCTGAGACCCCAGCTCAGATAGCTGGGGAGAGGGAAGGAGTATCCTGGTGATTCAACACTAGAAGGCATTGCTAGTACATGGAAGGACCAGGATATGCAGAGGAAGCCTCATTTGACCTTGGCAGGAGTACCAGAAACAGAATGAATTTCAGTAGTACGACAGACAAGGTCATAGGCTTGGCAGCTAATAATAGAAATCTTCTGTAAGCTGGGAACTCTCAGAGATCTGGCAGGGAGCACAGCAAGCAGGACTGAAGGCAGTCCTTGTCTTCTGGGAACTGTTGAGCCAGTATTGCCAAATCTCAGTGAGGATCCTCAGTGTGGATCATCAGTGTAAGCTGCATTGCTCCCTGATGCCCACATTAAATTCAGGGAATCACTGTCATCTGCCAAGACCTGTCCTGAGAGCCTTGCTGAAAGGCAGCAGGAGACACTTAGTGGTAAACATATCCTGCGAAAGCTCAGGAAAAAAGTGCTGGGATCTTCTGCATTAGGTGATGGTGGCATGATGGTGAATCACAGTGCAGTGCAGTTGGGGACAAAGCAAATGCTGTTCTAGTGCTTAGGGAGGTGTTCCCAGTGGGAAAATACATTGATGCTCCCACCCAAAGCCCTGTGAGACCTCTCCTGTGGTCTGTGTTACAGTTTTGGTCAAAGGAATACAGGCTGAGACAGGAGGGATGGGCAGATGATGAGAGGAAAGGGAAGTCTGGCATTGGAACCTGGAGCACCCATCTTGTTTAACCACATGCAGCCAAGGACAAAGCAAACAGGATTGCTGTAATGAATGCACCTTGGAGGACACATTTAAACTGAAGCACATGGTTGTGTGGAGATAATCTAGCACAGACAGGCTAGCAAAATACCTGGGGTGTAAAACTAGAAGTGGGTTCCTGTCTGTTAGGGTAATGCAGCTTTAGCCAGAATCTGAGGTATAAAGACAATGGATTTAATCTGGAGCTGAAACTCTGTTAGTCTGTAGTCCCTTGACCAGGGAACAGCTGAAGTCCCTGATCTCACCATGTCACACAACAAAAACCAGCCACAAGCAAGGTAAGCAAACACTCAGGGAACTTCCCATTCCCTGCAGCATTCTCCTTGGGCACAGGGCAGGGCATTCCTGCCCTGTAGTTCACACACTCCATGATTTCAGTCATGACTGAATAAAAATCAGCTTGTTAATGCAGCTGAGAGCCCCAGCACAGCACCTGGGAGGCCAGAAGCTAGGGCTGACCTAAGCCCCTCTCTCAGCTTTTGACATTGTGGTGGTTTCTCTTGGTTGCTTTGGGTTTTGCAAAGTAAAGAACAGTGAGCAGAAAAACCTCTGCTTATGATAACAAACCTTTAAAAAGCAGATGGGGATGTGGGGGCTGGTGTGTTTTGTGACATTTGAGTAGACCAGAGCAGGGAGAATCTGAGAAGCAGCTGGTCAGAGGCACTGATTGAAAAGGGGATGATCAGTCACAAGAAGAGAAAAATAAGGGGGAGAGAGAAAAAATAACTGGGGAATCCAGGACATTTATGTCCAGTGAGAAATATGAGAAAAACAACCATATGAGGCTGAAAAAGTGGAAAATGCTAGAAGGGGATAATCCTTTTAAATAAAGGGCTAGATTTTCTCTTGCCAAGAATTGTATAAATCTGGAGGCTCATGTTAAAAATGCACTGAATTTATACTAATATAAAGGTAGGATCAGAACCACTTACCCATAATCTTCCTCCCTCTAAATTACTTGTTAGGGTTTTGTCCTAGCATTTACATTTGCCTCCATCTTTAAAGCAGGAACAATGTTCACACAACCTAGTGAGACATTTTTTGGTGGGAGGGAGTAGAGAAAAGTGGCAAAAGTCATGTAGTGTCTGCAATGTAGAGCACAGATACTGGTGGATGAGGATAATACTTCTAAAAGGAGGAGAAAAAGCTGGAAGCAGTGTGACAGTAGGCTCCAGTGTTGTTCCAGAGGTGAGAAAATGCTTTCAGTGAAAGACTTAATGAACTCAATCTGCCTATTGTACCTAAAAGAAGACTGAGAGATTATTTGATTTAGAGTATAAAGTGCCTCCACAGAGAGAGCTGCTGGTTACTGAAGGTTTATTTTTTTTTAATCTAGGGGAGAGAATAACAAAACCTGTGACAAAAAAACCAAACAGATTCAAATTAGTCAGTAAACATAAATGCTAACAATGAACACAAATAGGTATTGTCAGAAGATACCAAGGGAAAAATATTTTTCCCTTTCTTGAGTGTTTTTCAAATCAAAGGTAGATGGCTTTATGGAATATTCAGCTTAGCTGCATGTAAACACTTACTGTCGGTCTTTCTACAGGATAGTTTGTCCAATTTCTGTTTCACAAGCTAAACAGATTGAGCTCTTTCAGCCTTTCACAGAAAGGCATTTTCTGCCACCCCCAAATAATGCTTGTGGTTCTTTTCCACACCATTTCCAAGTAGCGTGCGATACGCAGAAGGTCAGACTGGATGATCTAACGTCCCTTCTGGCCTTTATATTCTCTGAGTCTCTGCCTCTGTGAATTCATTAATGTTTGCAAGCTCCCAGAGAGCTGCCAAAGGCAAGCACTATAGAAATGCAAAGCATTGTTGTTACTGTGCGTATTTCCCTTGAGCTTTACGTGGAGCTGGTTGAATATCGCAGGGTATGGTCTGTGTGTATTCCCTCAAACTAAATACCTGCATTTCTCACTCCTGCAGTGCCCTTTCCCAGTTGATTTTCTGCAGCTGTGCTAACAAACAACTTCATTCCCAAGTTAGGATTCAGAAAAAGCAAATGTGAAGGGGCAAATCTCTGCCTGGAGCCCCAAGCAAAGAGCAGCACGTTGTTGTCCTGGCCCAGAAGCTCCATGCGAGGCAGGGTTATTGTTAGCATCATGCTTTGCTTTCTCTTTGTCTCCAGGTGCCCTGCACATGGCCTCTGCCTGGCTGCAGCAGAACTGTGGGAAAGACAGATCTGGCCCTTGTTGGCTGCTTTTTCCCCCTTTCTATAAAGGGAGAAGAGCTGTGAGGATGCTGCCTTATCCCCAGATTTCCAGGGCTGCAACAGATGTAGAAAGGACCCCAGAATGACACAGGAAATGTTTATTTACTCACATTTCATTCTGTAACTCTATTCATTGGTGAATGCAGGTTGCATTGCCCATTATTCTTGGAGGGAAGTCTTTTTGGCCCTCAGAAATCCTGTGCTAGGGCTTGCATTTATCTGGTTGGAGGATAGAAGCTGACCCTCCAAACTGTGCTTCCAATCAGTGCTAGCAAACCCTCTTCAAGCTGGCACAGTGGGCTGCTAATGGACAAGATGCTGAGGAGGAATCCTGTTTTATATATTTTACCTGTTATATGTACAGAATTACATGGTTATTATATAGGGTGTTGTATGTGTACATGAGTAGGTGTGTTAGCAGGACAAATACATTGGTCAATATCAAATAGTAATCAAATTATAGTAAATAATTGCAGAAAATCACAGCCTGCTCCCAGACAGTTCATGAACTGAAAAAGCCCAGAGTCATCAGATGAGTGTGTTGGTTTTGCTTTTTTCTGCCTCTGTGTTTCTGGTATTGTATGAACTGCTGAGTAGTATCTGTGTGCACTCCTCTACCTAGCTGGCAGAATGAGATTAAACTGTGTGTCATAGACACCATGCTATTAAACAATAATGGTGATTCTCCTGCAGCACATACCTTTTGAGCAGAACAGATGCCTGAGCTGTGAGCAGATTAAGAGTAGCTGGGTTCTGCTCCCAGTTTCTCTCTGAGGATCAGCCTGAGCCCAGCAGGGTGACAGAGTGCAGCAGTGAGAGCAGGGTGGCACAGGGGTTTGCTCTGTGGGTTTAACATCCTGCGTGGCTCCACATGCGTCAGGATGAGCTTATTCTTACAGCAGGGCAATGTGATGAGTTGTGTATGCTTAGCACTGAAAGTGGCCAAGTGGGGAATTTAAACTTCTTAGCTGTGTGTGATAGACCTCGCCAGGGAACAGCTGGTGGAGAGACTCTTTTAGCTCTAGGGGTAGCAGCTTGTGTACTTGGGGGTGCAATAGGATTAGATTGCAATTTCCATCCATTTCCAAATAACCTTGCTCAAGAGGGTCAGGAAGCTGGAGATGTAGGAACCCATGGCTCCCTATTTGTTACATTATGTTCTAATTAAAAAAAAAAAAAAAAAAAAAAGCTTTTGGAACCAAATTTGACCTGAATATAACTCCATTGGCTCCTGCATTCTTACACTAGGGATTAATTTGGCCCTTTCTACTTTTATGTAATGAGCTGATTGCCACAGTATCTTATCCTTGTTATACAATCACCCTTGTCTGGCTGTGTCCCTGGAGCATTCTGTGTGTGTGTTTCTAGATCTAGGGTCTCACCTTCACCTACTGTGTGTTTAGCCCTAGAGCCTCACCTTGACTTACACTGATGTACTGTGTGTGTGCATGTTCTCTCCAAACAGTGTGTACAGACAAGAATATATCTGTGGGAATTGAGGGGCTTCCTCCTTTGGCTGGCTGTGTCCCTGTGGCGTTTGCTTCTGCAGGGGATAGGGAAAGAGTGAATGGTATTATCAGAGATCTCATTTAAACAAGAAGGAGCATAGGAAAATACATTCTTTATTATTATTCTGTAACAACAAGCCAGAAATATAATATACCTTTAAAAATTTTCTGTCTCATGCCAAAGAAACCTCCATTCAATCATTTTAGAAAATCTTGTCGCTCTCCCTCAAACAGTAACAAAAAAGAAAAAGGAATTACAAGTGTAATCTGTTCCCTGCAAGGGATGTGCCTACCTGTCCCACAGGTGGATGTGTGGGGAAGGGGAGCAGGAGGAGCAGGAGGGCTGTTCCTGGTGGCCCTGCCAGCCCAACATCACCCTGGCATTGTTGGACCTGGCAGCCCCAGAGGACCCTTTCCTGAGGCACCTGCAGGGACAACAGGAGCTGCTGTCCCCACACACCAGAGGAGCCCCTTGGCTGGGCACACAGGGAGCACTGGGTCTCATTCTGTATCCAGCATCCCTCAGAGCTCTGTTTCTGCCTGCTGAGGATGCTGTGCTCCCTGCAGTGCCTGTGGGCAGTGCAACAGCTCAGTCACACCAGGGCAGCCTGATTTCCAGGCGTGCTGGGGAGCAGAGAAAGAGTCTGTTTGCAAACAGTGCCATGAAGAGGGCACTTCCCTCTGCTCTGCATGCAGAAGGACAGGTCCTCATCCTGCCAAACAGAGTATTTGCTTTCCAGAGGGACTCCTCATAGCCAGCCTTCGTGTTTCCCAGCAACACTCAGTTCTCCCCTTTCCTGTCTTCTCCTTTCCTGGGTGGGTTGCTAAACATAGCAATCCCTTGTCTAGGGTTGAGATAAATCCAGACTTTCTGCCGTATAAATTAAAAAAAAAAAAGGAAAGGATGGGCAAGGTCATCACCAGCCCCACAACACAGGATATAGAAAATATTATTAGCAACAAAGAAAAATTGGTCAGGGCAGGAGGAAGTCACAGGGAAGGTGCAGGGAAAGGAGGATTTCACACCCTCAACCCCTGCATTGTCCCCTATCTTCTTCCCTTTCACCTCTAGTCTTTTCTCTTAAGAACAGTCTCTCTCTTATCTCACACACACACACACACACACACACACACACACACACACACATACATAGAGATCCCATTTGTTTTGTGCAATATGTCACCATTATTTGATGCAAGTAAAATATAGATCTATAAATATACCACTCTGACTCAAGTCCCATTTCAAGTATGATTGCGGAGTCCAGTATGGTGAAGGGAGAGGTTCCCCTGAGAGGGAGCTTGGGGAGAGGTTTGGATCCAGCAGGCAGAGTCTGCTCCTGGCCTGCTGGGAATGTGGAACAGCAATAACACGCATATGGAGTCTGCAGTGCGCCAGTTCTGCCCTTCAGAGCGGGCTACGCTTGGAGCAGATGGGACGGTTGGAGTGGCTGTGCAGTGCATGGGGGAAGAGTCCTTCCTCCTCACATTTCACCAGCCCCCCTCCTTTGCTTCCTCTTCCCCACAGTGTGCTGGAAGCAGGAGGAAAGTGTGTGCTCACACTGGTGGGCGGGCTGACTGCTTCTCCCAGTTCTTCCTCTGTGGCAGCCTGGTCTTGTGCTTCCCTGAAGAACATCCTCCTCTGCCCCATGCTAAAACAGTCCAGAGCACCCTGTCTCCTTGGCTCTGGTGACCCTGGGTAGACCAGGTGGGATTTTGCCGCTCCAAGCTTTGATTAATGGTGTTGTGCGCCCACAGATCAGTACAGCCACCTCTCTGGGAGCAGAAGGAGTGAGGAGCCAGTGTGCATTGCTTCCACAGGGATGCAGCCACAGCGAGCAGGCGGGCTGTGAGGTGTCCCACGGCACTGGGATTCAGATGGAGCAGGTGGAAGGAAGAGGTGAGGTGCCCTGGCAGGGTGCGCCTGCAGAGCATGCAGGGCTCTGAGGCTCTGAACACAGGTTGCTAGTGAAACACCCTGCAAGGCTGGGCTGGCTGCCAGCTTGTTTCCTGATGGCAGGGATCACACCATGCACAGGCACAGTGGATGCACGACCTCCGGTGTCATCTTCCTCGCCCAGGAATACCCACTGTGACGGGTTAGAGCAGGTTACCATGGCAATGTGCGCTCTCCCCTGCAGACAGCATTTTATCCCACTTCCAGTGATACAAAATGAGTCCTTATGTTGAGTTCCTTTCATTTTTTTTTTCCCTCTCACTTTTTTTTTCCCTGTCAGGTCAGAATGAGCTAAGACTAATAGGAGGCACTGCAGTCTGAGGGCTTTAAAATCTGGTTGGGGGAAGTCACCCTACGTGACAGTGGCAGTGTGCACAGCTGTGTGTGTGGGCACACTCAGGTGCAGCTGTGGGTGTCACTGGACACCCCCATGGTGGTGAAGGGAGTGCATGTGGGCTCTGCTGCCTTCTGTGCCAGACCTTTCCTGGGCTCTCCCACATGTGCCACACTGTGCTCCAGGTTCCAGCCTTCACCTCAAGACCCTCCATACCTCTGCCCACTCTTCTTGGTCACACTGGCTGCATCACCCTGTTCCACACACCGTGCTGGCCCCTGTGCCAGCCATGGCATCTCCTGGGTTGACTATGTGTGACTTCTTCCCCTGACACCTTCCCCTAGGCTCACACTACTCAGCACGGCTCACGCTCCTGGTAAGCCACCTCCTCCTCCAGTCTTTCCTGATGACCCACTTCTGATCTGCCAATCAAACATTTCTAAATGGAGGCTTCATATCCTTAGTCTCTCCATTTATTTGAGAAGACATAAAATAGATAAGAACATACTTTCTTTTTTTTTTTTTTTGATGCTGTGTACTTATTTCCACTGACTGGTGGAATCTCAATAATTTTGCCTCTCTCCATCCTCTTCTGCCAGTTCCCACTGGCTCTGCACTCTGGCTGAGATGTTTTTGTTACTCCTCAGTGGTGTGTGCATGTTTTTTGTCTGAAGCAGAAGGTGGTACACACTGCTACGATCAGGATAAGGTAAAGTGGCTGGATGTATCCATGGCTGCATGCAGAGGGCAGGTCAGCATGGGCATGAGTGATAGCTCTGCATGTGCAGGTGGGGTGCCTGGATGCCTGGAACTGGGACTGGCTCTGTGTGTGTGTTGGGATCAGAATGAGTCAGTGTGTGTGTGTGTGTACAGGAGGATGACTCTGTGCTGAGCACCTGCAGCAGATGATGTGTGTGCCAGCTCAAAGGTTTGGACTTGGGCAGGAGCAAGAAGAGGGACACTGTGCTCCCTGGCAGTGTGTTAGGGTGATACAGACATCTTTCCACCTCTAAAAGTGAGAAATCTACCACTGACTGTTGCCCTGCCATAGGGTCCTTGCCTCCCTTCTGATGCAATCTTGGCAGCTCTGATTTGTAGGGTAGGCAGCAGCTTCGTGTCACACACCAGCAGTGACCTAAGGGTGAGGCATGGACACTTCTGGTGTCCTGCTCCCCACACAGGGTTTCACACAGCTGCTCTCTGTTTGCACAGAACTCTTGACAGGACACAGGATGACTCAGGACCAAAGCTGAGAGGATGACACAGGGTCCCAGAAGGTGCCAGCTGCCTTTGCAGCAGGCATGTGAGGGAAACTCTGTGCAAGGGCATGAGGCACAGCAAGCACTCGAGGTCTGACTCTACTTTATTTATCTGGGAGGGCCCAAGGGTGAAAGGGCACAAAATGGGCCTGGGGCAGAGGAAAAGAAATTGAGCCGGGTGCCCTGACCCCCCAGAAGCATGTTGTACTACTTGGGTGAGTGGAGCAATAGCACAGTCTGTCTGGGAAGATGTATTTTGGGAGGACCCCATGTTTGACTGCTCTCAGGTACCTTTTTTCATCGCTGTCCTTTCCTTCCTAGAACAGTTTCACGCCACAGAAGAGATTTGTTTTTGCTCTTCATGTTCACCTTCTGTGTCACCCATGAGTGGCTGCCTCTTCTTCAGCTCCCTGTGGTATTTGGCCATGAGGGAGGCGTAGATGCAGCCATAGGCAGCTGCCACCACCATCATGATGCAGACGATGCCACAAACCACCCCTGCAATGATCACAGTGCCGATCGCGCGGCGCACGCTCACGGGCCTGTACCGCTGTTTCTGAGGGCATCCCACACTGGGCTCCACTTCTGGTTCTGGGCCTGATTTAGATTTGGAAGGAGCAGGGCTTCCTTTAGTGCAAGGTGGGCCAGTATTGTCCAGCACTGTAGAGCTGTTCTCGTCATCCAGCTGGGAGCAGTAGTTGAACATCTCCATGGGCACCATCCGCATGTCCTTTCCTTTCAGCTCCTTGGGCAGGGTGCAGGCCAGCTGGTCGATTTTCCCACCTGTTCCAACAGAGATAACAGGAGTCAGTCACAGCTCCATGCCCATGCACAGGCAGCAGGGTTAGATCCTCAGCTGGGTGAGTTCATGGGCCTCCATTCATACCTGCTAAAGTATTTTCCCTGCAGAAGCTTCAACCATATCAACTGGCCAGTATGCCTAGGTTGGGTTTGACATTAGAGCTCCTGGTGCATATCTGAATAGGCCAAGACATAAAAGCCCTCTGAAACCATTTAAGTCAGCCTCATACTGTTTAGTGAGTTATGTAAGTCTCAGAAGAACCACTTTAGAAAAAGAGAAATTAAAGCAGAAATATAGGAGCAGGCTGTACCTTCTCAAAAAAAACAACAGATATACATCCCATCTTCTGACAACTAATCCATCTCTGTGAAAATAATGACAGATGTTGAAACAAATGCTTGAGTGAGTTTGAGCAATTTCCTTGAAAGGGTGGAAAAAAAGCAAAGTTATGTCTGCGTGCTTTCCACTGACTTTGTGATATGGTAGTCAAGAAAAAACAACAAATCAAAAAAAAAAAAAAGTGCAAAGTGGCACTCGTGTGCTTGTTTGATTCTGCTCACACAAATGCATATTTCAGACTGCAGTGTAGCCATAGGCAGAGATAATCTCCTTGCAGCATGGCTGTGATCAGCAGGGATGTGACAGCTGACTGTTGCTATCCGCATGATTTGAGACCCTTTCCTACTCGTTGGTTCCAGAAACAGAAGGTCAGGCCTTCAATCCTCACTCCTGTAAAATGTGCCATCTTTCTTTGAGGTGCAGCTCCTGAAAGCATGTCATCCCATCAGCATTCCTGATAAGTGACATGTACCTTTCTAGTCTTCTGTGTTTCAAGGAAAATCTGGAAATGCAAACTTGTCAAAAATGGCTCGGTTTGAAATGATGATTTCATAGCCAGTCTGATTTGGGGCCTGGCTTGTTAATTTGAGCTGTAGGTTGGGATCTCCAGTATGAGTTGCAGTGTTTTTCCTAAGTGTCACTGTTTCCTAGTGTTCTTTTTTTTGGCAGCAAACCTGATGCTTTACAGCCAAATCTGACTTCTAATTCTCTCATCTTAAGAAAGAGAATGGGATGTTTATTTCCAAGTGTGAAAAGCATTTCTTCTCTTTAGGTGAATTCATAATCCTAAAATTTTAATGTTACTTGAGGAAAGTTCTTTCTTCTCTCAAGATTAAAAAAAAAACAGGTAATAGTTCAGATTAGAAACAAAACAAGGAAATAGGAGATCTAGGGCTGCTGGGGACTTCACAGAGTGGCAGCGTTGCTATATGAAGGTGCAGTAGCACTGAATTGTAGCAGGGTCCTCATGCTCTTTGGCTGAGACCTGTCCATCAGGTCAGCCTGACCTGCCAGTTGCATGTGCTCCTGTTTCTTCCCTGCCTGACTTTTGCTTGCTTTTCCTGGAAGACCAAAATTCCCCCACCTGCCTCCCCTCGCACACGCGAGCACCCACCTCGGTAGGAGAACCACTCCATCCAGTGCTTGAAGTCCCGGAGGTTGCAGTCGCATTCCCAGGGGTTATCCCCCACCTGGAGGTGCTGCAGGCTGGTCAGAGGCTCAAAGGTCACCCTGTCCAGGCTCTGCAGGCGGTTGGACCTGAGGGAGAGGGAGCGCAGGGCAGGCAGATCGTCAAAGATGCCCGAAGGGATCTGGGCCAGGCCGTTGATGGAGAGATCCAGCTGGCGCAGCAGGGCCGTGTGCTGCAGCAGGTCCTTGTCCAAGGCCCGGATGCTGTTGTTCCTCAGCTGCAGCTCTGTGAGGTTCCCCAGGTCACTGAAGATGTTCTGAGGGAGCTGGTCCAAGAAGTTGTTGGATAGGTCCAACCTCTGCAGAGCAGAGAGGTTGGAAAACACTGCTCCTGGCAGGATGCTGAGTTTGTTGTTGAGAAAGAGGAAGGTCCTGGTGTTTGTGGGGATGTCTGAGGGAATGGAAGAGAGGCCCAAACCACTGCAGTCCACTTCCAGGTTGCCACTGTTACACTTGCAGGAGGAAGGACAAGCAAAGAAGGACTCAGCAGCACATAGTGAGAGCCAGCAGCCAAGCACTGGAAGGTGAAAAGCAGGGAAGGAAGAGGCCATGGATTAGATCAGTGCTTCCCCATCCTCACCCACCACCAGCTACAACACAGCCCTCACAGCAGGGCTCTTCACTGCAATGCCCTGCAGTGTAATGGGTTTCCTCACAGCTACATTGCTTTACCCCTGGCCTGCATCCTGACAGCATGACTTTCCTCTCAGCCTGTTTTTTTTTTTGGAACAAGCAAGTAAATATCCTTCCAGTTTCACAACAAAGTCAGAACAGTGCATCCCAGCGGGCTTTGCCAACAGATACTGGAGCACTGGTACCTGTCAGAGGATAATGGAGCAGAGAGTGGTGGGAGGTGACACCTCTGACAAAGGACAGCTCTTTTTAAACAGTCAGGGTAGAGATAAGAGGGACCAGGTATATTTAAAATGTTCCAATTTTTCAGAAACAAATATGTTATTAAAAAGCTTTTCAGAAAAAGGAAAAGTAAAACAACCTACATTTCAGGTGTGCTCCTGCAGTTTGAATCCTAATATCTGTGATTGATAAGACTCAGATCTAAGACTCTAAATCAGGGTATCATTTGCTTACCATATTCACAGTGTGTCCACTTTTTAATGAATAACATTACATTACAAAGGGATGACCAAGAGAACTGCTAAAAAGTAACAAGGGGTCCCTAAATCATTGCACACCTGGTACTTGCCATTGCTCTCAAAGCAGTTTCTGAATCCCAGAACAACAACCCCAAAAGTATCTCTGAGTGACCAGAGACCCCCCCCCAACTAGAAGTGGTAACTGAGTGCAGATCCAGCAATTGTTCTGATTAAGAACTTTGGACACACTCTGGACTACAGTCAAATCATGGGGCAAATCCTGAATCATGGTCACCAACTGGGCAGACAACAGACATGCAAAGAACAGTTTAAACCACATCTGACCAAAATGGCCCACAGCAATGGAATGAGGAAAAGAGATGTACATTGGTAACTGACAAAAGCAGTGTCAGGAAAAGGGTTAACACACACACCTTTTCTCATACACTATCTCAAGGTTGGACAAACCACAAATCAGCATCTTTTAGAGCTGCTGTGGATTCCAGACATGGCTCCAGATCCTGCCAGTGGCATCAGGGCACTAGTTACCAAACTCCCCTGGGAGCCAGTGGCTTTTCAAATTCTCATTTTTGTGACAAAGAAGCATTATCAGCAAGAAAGCAAGCTTTGTGCCTCTTGTCATTAGAGGAGTGGGAGTTATGTTTAAGCAGACTATGTAAAACATTTGCATCCTTCATCTTAGCTCCTTTTGTGGAATTGAGATCACACAATGAATTCCACTATTCTTCAATGTGGGAAGCAAATTCAGCTCCCTCGCAGTTTTTAAGGTGACAAGTTTGAGCATTTGACTAAAACTGAAGCAGGTTTGTCTGTACATCATGCCTGTCCTCTCCCTTTCTCACTTTTCTTCAGAGAAGGCAGTCACTTGGGTTGGTAGAGTCTTTTGGGGGGTGAATGGTAGCTGAAGGGGATGCATTGATTGTCTTGCCTTCCTGAACTGGCAGTCAGATTCTTCAGTCCTGTTTTTCTTCAAGAACCAACAAGCAGGTGTTTTACTTCTTAATCCTAGAGGAATTGTGAAAAGATTGCCACAAGAGAGAGAACCAGAGGAGATCCCTGCTGTGGAGAAGCTCTGCCTGGAGCAGCTTTGCAGTCAGCCATGCTCTTCCTCTCTTCCCTTGTGCCACTTTCTAGAGTTTAATCTGATCCCCAGCCCATTTTTTTATAGTGACTTTGCTTCTGTCAGCATTGTGCCTTCATACTCCTACCCTGTCATCCTGCACAGGGCAAGTTTTGTGTTCCCAGTGATCCTTGTGAGAATTGGCAGATTTGTGGACTGGTAGTCTAAGGAGAACTATCCTGTTTGAATCCTAAGCTATATGACTTTATTAAGGACCAAGGGATAAATGTTCAGAGATAATATATCAATTCTCTCTTATTTCATCTGTCTTCACAATTCTTCAATAATTTTTTACTGTCCTACAGTTGAGATCTCAGGTGTACATCAGCCCAGGCCATGCCAATAAATGTGCTCTTTTAAGGAGAATTATGGAACCTTATGGTGAAATGTAAGACAGATCTTTACCCAGACCACCTCTGTGCTTCCTTGTCATGCAGAGGCTGGAGCCCACAGCAGAAATTGCCATGAAAGTAGATCATAGCCAATGGGCTAGTGCAGTACAGGTAGTGACTGAGTAACTGATATTTAATTCTGTTCAGAATATGTCACACTCTTGTTGTAGGGAGAGAATTAAAAGAATGGGAGCCAGAGTGGGGAAGGGAAAGAGCAATGAGTCATTCAAGTGACCCCGTCTTTTCCTGGATGCTTAACAAAAGCCCAGTATTAATAATAGATTGGCAGCTGTGATGATGAGATAACAGCTGCTTTGTACACCGAGAAAGGCAAGAGCAGCCCGTGTGTAACGCTATCCAGGTGCCATTCTGCTCGGTGCTTATCTCAGAGCGCCTGGCCGCCTGCGGCGCCGGCTGGGTGGCTGTGGGGTTCCACCAGTGTGTTTGCTGGCAGTGGCTGGCAGGAACAGCCTCAGGCAGCTGGCTGTGGTTATGTTGAGGAAGTGGATTTATGCCAGGCTTCTGCAGCCATGTAGGATATGCCAAAAATGTCTTGTTGTTACCCATATATTGCTGTAGGCTTTTGGAAATATTTTACTAAAACCGTAAAAAGAAAAGAGATCTCGTTTTCATTTCACATCCATGAGGATGTGAGCTGAGGCCAGGGAATTCATTGCGTTGGTGAAGATGCAGCTCTGCAGGAAAGAGAGGCAGGGAAGCAATAGACAAAACTTGAAGCTGTCTTCCAGCCCCTACAGAAGGATGGATAATAAGTGGTTTTGTGTTAAGGGAAGATCAAGTTACTTTGTGGGATGTTTGGTGACTCTAGTAGGTGGCAGAAAGATGATCCAGGTATATCACATTAAGTCAAGACTCAGTAGCGTTCATTATAAATAATTTAGACAGTCTGGTCTGTGAGGATGGATTACAAAGATGTTTGTTTTCTGGAGAAGGAAGTAATTCCCCCAGCTTCTTACAGCTGCAGCTCCAAATGTGACCAGGAGGACTGGAGCAAGGGAAAGCACAGACCTACTTGTGCCTGGGCATGCAGTAGTGAGGGACACTCTCCAAGGGTCCCCTTTACTCTGCTGTGGTCCCCAGATACTTCTCTGAGATGCAGATAAATTCCCAAAGCCCCACATCACCCTGGCAGTGCCTGCTCTGCACTCAGGGGTGCTGCAGCAGCTGCCCCAGCCCACTGGGAATATGCACAGGCTGAATGTTAACAATTTAATTTGAAGGAGAGCTTCTTTATTTACTCCTTGATTTTCACTACATGTGGCAGTGCCCAGTAGGAGAATTCTGCCTTCACATTCTGCATTTCCCTCTAAAATCTGTTGTGACTTTTGCTGTGAAGAGCTCTGCTCAGCAGCCTGTGTAATACCCCAAGCACAGAGAGAAGCCTGCAGCTCATAGGATACTGATTTGAGGAATGTTCAGGGTGGATCTTTGTGCAGTGGTGTCTGTCATGCTGCTTCTCACCTGCCAGGCCCACTGGAATTCAGAAGCAATCATCACTCGCTGTCCCACTTTAAGCCCATCTTCAGCTTTAGAATATCACTCTCCCTCCCAGCTAGCCTGGCCTCTAAAGGAATCAGGAATTAGTTCAAACATCTCCATTCTTAGCTGTCCCTCTCCCCTGTTCTTAACCCTGATGTGACCCATTTTTTCCCATTCCCTTGACAAACAGGAATGCTGTAGTTGGTACCTGAGCAGGCATTACTTACGACAAGCCTCCTGCCACCTCATGAGGAACCTGCTCCTCCACCGGTGGCCAGCACTTGCAGGCAGCATCGTGCTCTTCTCCAGCGTGCCTTCACATCCAACAGCCAGCCTGGCCCTCGGCCCCGCCGGGAGAGGGAGTGACCTTGTAGCCTGCCTGCCAGGTCCTGCGGAGGGAAAGCAGAGCTGAGCAGAGGGCATTCACTTCCCTGGGTGCTGAGCTCAGAGCTGGCCTTTCCCCTCCCCAGTTAGGGTTTTGCCTTTGAGGCATCGCTTCTGTTTTGGAGGAGAAATGGAGGGTGTTTCAGGAGGCGCAACATTAATTCACTTTGAACCTCGCGGTGCAGAAATAAAACCTGATTCACCTAAGTGCCAGAGAGAAGTTTGTGCTTGAACAGCCTGCCATGGTAGCTACATTAGCTTCATGCTCAAGGTTAACCTGATGAATTGCTGATGAAGGTGACCCTGCCAGGGCAGCAGAGTCCGGCTCATTGCCGTCGCCCCCACGCAGGCTGGTGCCACCTGTGCATCCTCTGCCTGCCGCACGGCTCAGGCTCGCTGCGATCTGGGCACCAGCGGCTGCCAAGCCGCTTCTCTGCCCGCTCCTCCTCCCCCCTCCACCACACCCGGCCCCCCACCCCTCGTGCCGTACTCCCTACCAGCGCTTCCTGTCTGCTTTAAGGTAAAATGGATGTGGTGGCTGGAGCGGCACCGCTTCAGCTTGGGGATTTCCCACTGCAGCAACTGCAGGAGCTGGAGAGCGAGCGAGCCTCGGAGGAGAAGGATAAGGAAGGACCTGAGGCGGGGGAGACTGAGTGGGAGTGTTGAAAAGATAGGAATTGCATCTTAATTAGTAGAAGGAAAAATCCTCAGTCTAATTAGAAACCCAAAGACCATAAAACTCTCCCCTGACAGTAGGTGACTGACAACAGGTTTCAACTTCCCTCCCGCTTCCCTTTTGGATACAAGGAGGCAGGAAAAATGAAAACACCACAAATCTTTCTGTCCCCCTGTGTACTCTCTGACGTGCCACCCACAGTCACAGCAGCACATAGATGGACACATTTCAACCAGAGTACAAAAATAAGCCATCCTCCGTCCCCTCTGAGGGGCTCTGACAACATCCACAGCAGCTGTTTTAGCTGGGTGCTGCACTGCCACCAGGACACTCTCCCCACACACGTGCCAGGTGTCTACCCTCCCCCAGGCTCCCAGACTGATTTATTTTATATGAGAATGTAAACCACCAGGAAATATTCAAATTAGCATCTTGATGAAAATTGCGAGCAGGTTCAGTACCTAGGCTAGCACATTTACAAGGCTGTTTAGATCATTTACCTAAATGCCAATGCACCAAACACCTCTCATAGTACAGAAACCAATTCAGCCTTCATCCACTGCAGCCCCCCACTCCCCAAACTGAGCTGGAGCCCTTTCTCTGCAGTTCCCACTGAAGGAGAAGCTGCAACAAATAGCTGTCCCCATTTGGTGCTTGCGCTCGCCCTGACCGAGGAGATTTTCAGCCTCCCCCACAGAAACCTCTCCATCCTCAATGCCGCCCCTGAAGTCTCCTGTCCCTGCCTGTCCGTATGGAAAAGGAGGATGAAAAGCTGCAGGCTCTTACCTGGAGGGGTTCTGCCTGCAGCCACTTCCACCTGAGTCCCCGGACACTGCCCAGTTACAGCCTCTTCCTTCCCTCTCCCTGCTTGACTTTCCGTCCCCAGCAGCAGCTTTCCGTGTGCTCTATTTAACTCCCTCCAGCACTGGAATAAACGGCAGAGTTAAGCTGACAGCCACAGAGCCTTATCTGCCTGCTGGATAGCGCCAGTCGATCAGCTCCAAATCCCGTTGCCAAATGATCACGTCCTTGCTCTCAGCATCAGGGGCAGCCGCCTGCCATGCTCTGCCTTTCCCTCTTCCCCACCTTCACTCCATCTAACTTTGTCAGGGTTATAGATAGCTCTGTTCCTTGTGCTCTTGCCTTTTGGCTCTGTTTTGTAACACCCCATCTGTATCAGCTGGCTTCGTTCCAATTAGGGGGGCAAAGCAATTAAAAAAAAAAAAAAAAAAAAAAAAGCCAGCTTCCTTGGGTGCTTTATGACATTGTTTCCCTCCGTGGTGTCCCCTCAGCCCCCAGTCAGGCCATGCACTGGTGTCTCTCCCAGTGCCCTGTGCAATTCATCCAGGCTGTCCCCAGGCAGTGATGGGGGCTGAGGGCAGGGCAGGGCTGGCACACCCGGGTGTGAGGATGGGGACAGGGTCAGGGTCCACCCCCTGCTCCTTGTGCTCCAGCAGGGCAGGTCCAGCTCTTGCACTCATTTCTGGTACCTCACAGGCGCCTCTTTCCCTCAGGCAGCACCAAGGCTCAAGCAGAGAGTGCAGGGTGGGAGGAGCAGCCATGTATAAATAAGCCTTTTCCCTATGTTTAGAATTTATTACAGTGCATAGTGATTAACACCTGTTCAGGCTTTAATGTCAGTCTCCTGCGCTGCAACATGCACTGAGATGGAGGGGCCTTGATAAACCCAAGATTATTTTAAAGCATGTCACATATATGCCACACTCCCCACTCCAGAGATAGCAGCCACCCTGTGTGCACTCATACACGTGTTCCCAAGACTTAAAAGCAGCTACCTTCATGTACAAATGCACAGTCACCAACCTAGCTTACATCTACAAATGTGTGCACGGAGCTGGGCTTGCACATGTTCCAGGGACTCTTCTGTAACCCATATTTATTAACCTCCATGTCTTCCACAAAGCTGCCTGCTTCTCCAAGCACACCATATGCCCAGGCGGCAGAGCAATGGATTTGGAAGACATAGAGGTTCTTGGCTGCTGACAGGTGAGGGTCAATGAACTTCTGCATTTATACCTTGAAGAAGTATGTTCATGGAGAAATTTTAATTCCAAAGATCCAGAAAAAAACTCAGTTTCTCCTACGCATCTACTGCCCATAAGAACATTATACACTTAGTGATTAATATTCCACAGTCAAGAGAGAGCAAGGAGGAAGAGAGGATTTTTAAGAGTTTCTTTTTTAAAGGTTTCCTCTGACTTGTCTTGAATTCTGACTTAATTAGCAGTTTTCTTGTGGCCCAAGAGATGCCTTCTGCTCTGCAGAGCACCAGGCCAACTGCACTCACTGCCAGTGCAGCACTGAGAGTGTGTAATCTTGGAGCAAATAGCACCTGCCCACACCTCCAGCCTCTCCAAAGCAGCACCAGATGTGTCTGGCTGCTTTCAGCCTGACATCCAGGGATTTTTCCAGCAGCCAGCACTTTGCCAGACCTAGGAGTGCTCCCTGTATGTCCCCAGCTCAACAAGAGAGGCACCATGCTGTCTTTTCTGAGCTTGCCTGGCATTTCTTGGCTATGGGGGCTCAAGGCTGGTCAGCATTGCTGGAGCTCTGAATGCTCTGAAGTCACCCAAGGGCTCCACAAACCAGGCATTTGTCTTTCTCATGGGCTTTCTAGATCATTCCTTCTCCCTCGAGCAACATGTCAGCTGAATGCCCTGTTATCCATGGGGCACAGAGGCCAGAGCTTTCTTCCATGTGCTTGGAGCTGAATGTCTTTGCACATTCTTGAGAAAGCAGCGTTGCCTGTGGGGCTGGTGATGGCCTTTTCCTATTACTGTTTCAAATAGGACAGCAAGAGACAACTTTTTTAGTTTCAGCTCAAAGCAACAAAATGAACTCATCCATTTCTGGCCCATGGGCTCCAGTGGCCAAAAATACACCGAGCTGAAGTGCCACTTGGACATTTGGCCTGCTGTCAGACTCTAGAGGACTCTCTAATGAGGATTCCCCTAATTAGATTGAGCAGGGAACTGGGGGATGCAGAGGGGATTGTAATGACTCTGCAGTGCTTGCCAGGGCCTGAAAGCTCCAGCAGGCACTATTCCTGCCTTGTGCCTGCTCCTCTGTGCCCAGACACCAGTCATATTTGCAGTATCACCCCAAAGCTGTAGCTTTTGTGGGAAGGGTCCCAAGGAGCATGCTCAAAGATCAGGGAGGGTTTCAGTTTACTGTATCCACGTACTGGTTTAGTAACTCTTCCAGTTCTGTGTCACCTTCTATCCAAAGCTTGCTCTATGGATGGCTCTTACCGTAGCTGCCAGGGGTGTTATTTTGTGTGTAATGACCCCCAGAAGTAAGGCTGAGGTAAGAGCCAGTAGTGCTTCTGCTCTGGGTAGGTGGATAAATCCATTCTCCAGACAACAGCACTGAGGCTAGAGACACAGGGGACTGTGTCACTGGGATGAGACACTGTCAGAGACAGAGCCCAGCAACCTCTGTCTCTGATTATCTCTCCAAGCCCCTTGCACTAACCCTTGGATCATGGCTGGGGGATCAGACTCCGTTAACAGCTCGGCTTATGAGCACTGGCAGGGCATGTGGGTGACCTATATTACAGAAGGGTAGGTAGCAGAGACTGCAACAGATGCCAGCAATAAATTATCAGAAAGTGTGCACAGACTTTCCTCCCTCCCCCACACTCTCCTTCATGGCAAAGTCCCTTTCCCCTTTGCAATGCTGAATTGCTTTAGCCTTTATCAGAAAAGCAGCAGCAAGAGGGAGAGCATGGAGGACGCTTTAAGGAGATTATCTTCTTTCCTTCCCCTTTCCTTGTTGCTTTTAGGATCCATGTTTTACTGCTATCACCCCATAATGGAGAGGGACAGTGGTACCCCAGCATTTAGTGACTATCACATGTTGTTCTGTGCATGTCCCTTCATCTGCCCTTGGTGGGGCAAGTGGCAGCAGAGACACATAATCTGTGTGGCCTGACTGCCGCACCACAAGTGGCTTTAGATGGCATGGAGACCTCACCCATTCAGGTCTCCCAAGAGACCTGCTGGTTGTGCAGATTTTTGATCCCAAGAGGTGACATTGTCTCAGTGGCAGCCCCTCTTTGTTGTCTCTTTGGAATGCAGAAACACTCAGAGGTGGCAGAGAAGCTCAGCAATGCTGTGGAAACATCCAGCGTGTGTCATTGCTCCAGTGAGCTTCCCAGCTTTATTTGCAGCACTTGCTGATGTATTAACACATATGTTCAGGATTCATTAGTGTTGTGCTGTCACAATCAATGGAAAGCACATTTTAAATTCATACAAGAAACCCAGCTGCAGAAGAAATAGTGCCCTCTGACTTGCAGTGATCAATCACAGCTAAGCAAAACACCTCATCCAGAAAGCTGTAAAGCAAGCAGAAAAAGTGTAAAACTTGGTCTTGTAAAAGACTCTGCCACATTCCTGGCCTGATATGAATAAAAACCTCACCCTTTGTGATATGAAAAGGTCAAAAAGCTTCAGATTTTTGGATTGCCAATGGAGGCACCTCTGAAATGAAAATGTGTTGATGGTAAAAAAATGTTTCCTCCCCAGGACCCTCCAAGAAAGATCAACTTTATCCCTGTTTTATGGAAGGGTAAACTAGGATTCAGGTAAAACTGGCTGCTGATTTTGGCTGGCAGAAATTTCAGCTGCCTTGCTTTTGATACTTCATCATTAGTCCACATCAGTTCCCCACTCACTGAGGATTTCAAAGCTGTCAAGTGCAGCGTTTGCACTTGGGGTTGTAAATGCTGTCCTGTCCTGCAGAGAGCATTTGTAGGCCTTATCAAAGCTACACAGAATAAAAGATTTTTGGCCAGGTTTTCCCAAAGTTTCCTGACGGGCCTGTGGCAAGAACAGGAGAGAAGCCAGTTTTCTTGATTCCTCATTCCATAGCTTAAGCAGAAAACAGTATCTGCATCCTAAGCCTCCCTGACCAATGCACAATAATGAGACTGGGAAATTCTGGAGGAGCTGGAAATAACCACGGGCATAAAGCCTCAGCAAATCCTCTGAGAAATACAGAGCATAGGAAGGGGAGATGCAGAGGGTAGCGCTGCTGGGAAAGACCCAGATTGCTGTGGAGATGTGGAATTCCTTGGGAAGCTGTGGAAGCAGGTGGAGAGAGCGGGATATCCAACCAGGAGTGACAGGAAAGTCCCAGCACAGCGAAAAGCGTGGCATATGGAGGAGGCCCAGAGCAGCAGCAGGAGGAGAGCTGAGGGGGCAGTTGACAGGAAGAAATCCAGCCATGTGTGTGCCAGCATCTCCTCCAAGTCCTAGGGAACGCGACAGACCACGTGCATGTTTCCTGCCTGCAGAGCGGAGGCAGCTGAGAAGGGAAGCGGGTGAGGGAGTGGGAGAGGGGCTCAGAGGAGGGACACGTGAGCTGACTACCCAGTTTCCTCCTCTTTTTCTTGCCACACGGTGATGTTTTTGTTCTTCTCACACTGTTGGCAAAAATTGGTAACCAAGTGAGATGTGGAGGGGGGTTCTACATGAAGGTTGAGATAACATTTTCTGATCCAGCCGGGAACAGTTGGCTGTGGGTGGTGGCTTGTCACCAGCCCTGCCAGTTCTAATCCAGATCCCAGTTTTTCTCATTCTCTCAGCTGTGGAGTGAAGAGCCTTCCCTACAACTTTAATTTCCTGCAGGGGTTAATCCCATGGTAAGTGGTAGCTCAGGCCTTTAATCCTTTCGCTCAGTCCCTTGACAGAAGGGCTGCAGGTCTGAGGGAGGCACCCTTCTGCTCCCAGTTCCCCCTCTACACCCCACGAGCATCCTCCAGCTCCCTGGCATTTAAAATGCTGCTCCCTGCTTCCTGGCAAGCCTATCCTGGGGATGTGGGTGGGTGGTACAACCAGGAAAAGGTTGCAGGCAGAGAAGACAGCTTGGTGGGAGAATCCTGGTTCTGTGGTCCTCATT